GTAAGACTCAGCTCCACCTACCTACGAAATATCGCTTTTTTTTGGTAAAAAACAGTTGCACAGCTTCCAGAATACTGAGAAAATTTTTTATCCTGATCATAATTACCCCAGGCGACTCTATATATATATAATCGAGAATTTTTTTAGGAGTGTTTTGTAGTTTGTGATAAAGAGTAGTCGAATAAAAGAGTAATACAGAAAACTACGTATCTTAACGCACGCATACAATAAACTCAAGAACGTATAATTAGATGAAATATAAGTCATCCCAAGTTCAAAAGCCACTCGTTTACTTGTTCTTATTTTTTGATTCTAGTCATCTTCTTTTACTTTTCTTATTTACACAACTAACATGAATAGCAGTCCCGTGTATTTTAATGCTTCACTATATTTAACTCTCGATTTCGTTATGATTTTATTCACTTTTATTGGTATTTTACTTTCATCTGTCTATATTTTAATCGTTGTATTTTATCGCCATTGTCATTCTGTGTATAATTTACTGAATTTGAATACATGTTTAGCTGGTCTTCTACTTTCTCTTGTTTGGATCACTGACAGTGTAATAATATTAAAAAGTGACTTAGAACAAAAAGAGATATTAAAGGATGATACTCTCTGTCGTTTAAATGCTTATCTACTTTATTCGCTCACTGCACTTTTGTATACATCCTACACTTTACAAGCCGTCTATCGACTCTTCTGTGTGGTTTTTAACAAAAGAAAATTCTTCCAATCCTATCGTTTTACTCGACGTTTAATCATTGTACAATGGTTTATATCATTCACACTTTACATTTGGCTTTGGATATCTAAACAAATTACTTTCGATCCGAATGCTCAACTGTGTCTTATTCAATTTGAAAATTTTCATGCTTCAATTTATCTTAGTTTAACAGCCTATTTTTTGCCTACAACAGTAATAATGATTATTTATTTGTGGATTGCTAAATATGTTCAAACTATTCGCAATCAGATCATTACATTAAATCGTGCGGAACGCCAATTAAAATTGTTGAAACGTATTACGATTATTGTTTCTGTATTATCGATTATATGTTTTCCTTATTTAATTTTTTATATAATGGCACCATTAGGCGCCCAGCCACCACCGTACGCAATGCGTTGCGGTTTTATTTCAACCGCAATATCTGTTCCTGTTGCCATATTTACAACAATAGTGTTTGCCAAAAATGCCAACAGCGTTTTCACCGACTTAGTTCATTGCCGAGTGCCTAACAGCAACAATCGGATACATCCTCAAACAGAGAATAGAACAAACACAGCAGAAAATCGAATTGACACACAACAAGGACCTGTATTTCATCTGAAATTTATACCTTACCTTCGTGCCAACATTTAAAGTAAACTGTACAATTACAGAAAATAGTTTTGATATCAAATTAACCATGTTCGCCATTCTCATGTATTACGGAAGAGATAATACTACTCATATTTTGATTTTTCGAAAAGAAGAAAGTTCATATTCTGTGTATTGAGACAAATGTTCCCTCAAAACTTTATTATGGTCATTTTACTCATCGACACATTTTTTAAGCATTTGTAAGGTGTACACAACTCAAACTTCAAGTGAAATTTTTTTCTAGTTAAGTGACACATGGTTGGATGGAGCGCGATGGGCTGAGTAAGAAAAAGCAGTTTTTAACTTTTGCAAAAAATGTTTTACAATCGAAAAATTTGAAAGACCTTTTTTTTGAAAAAACCGCTAATTTTCAATAAACTTCATTGTCCTCCATTCAAAGTTCTTTTCAACCTTTCAAACTGTAGTTTTCGAATTCAGCATTAAAATGTGAATAGAAAACTGATATTTACTTGACTTCAAACTTAAAATTTGACTGTGCATGGCTTCCGGGATGAGATCATTAAAAATGGTACATGCTTCTTTGGCAGGTCTATCTAATTCTTTTTTGTGAAGAAATGAAGCCACCAGAGGCCGAACCGAGTAGAATATTCGTCGAGTCAATTCGACTCGACTCGACCCAGGTCGAACCGAGCCCGGAAAGGAAAACTCAATTCGGCAAAATGTACTGTCTTTCTGGTTGACAAAATTGTAGAGAGGCAACGCTAGCTGCTAGCGACCGCGATAAACATTTGTGATTGGTTATCCATTCTACCTTCGACGTTAGAAGCACTTCTCCATTACTGATCGAAAGCGAGAACGATTTGTCCCTAGCAAAGATGGCTTTTGATAATTTGTCAACACTATCATTTGGTTCTGCAGGATCATGGATACAGATGGTGAAGATAGATCAAAAGAACAACAGAAAGATGAACTTCAACAATACATTGATTTAAAACTTAAACAAGACGAAAAATATTTAAATCCACTGTCATTCTGGAAACAAAATGAACAAACTTACCCCAATTTAGCTAAATTAGCTAAACGTTATTTTTCAATAACATGTAGTTCAGCTGCAGTAGAGCGGCAGTTTAGTGTTGTTACACAAAGACGTTCTAATCTGGATCCAGCGACTGGTAACAATGTTATTTAATTATGATCAGTTGAAAATAATAAGTTAAAAGATGGATTTTTGTGAAAAGAAAAATCTGTTTTTTAATAAACTAAAACTTCACTGAGTCGAATCGAGTCCAGTCGAGCTCGGTATTGTTTCTGTCGAACCGAGTCGAGTCGAGTCAAGGTTTTTGAACATTTAGTCGAGTCAAGTCGAATCGAGTTGATATTGAACCGAGTCGAGCCGAACGCAAAACGCAAAAAAGACTCGTTTCGGCCTCTGGAAGCCACGTCATTAGAACTGCTATTGTACAAGCTTTAAAAGTATGCATCGCCTTTTTCTGTATTTTACTTTCCTACTGAAAAAATTCATTTTTCTAAATTAGGAGCGAAAAAGCAGAACTTTTGCCTGTAATTCACTGTTTTCTTCATCATAACTGAACTTGTATGTAATTAAAACAAGATATTCGAAATTAGCGTCGAAAACTGAGTCGAACGGTGTATGTTTCAAAATTTTTCATTGACTTTCATTTTTTAGTAAAGATCTTAGTAATTTTGAAGTTTTAATAAAAAAATGGAATTTATTGAATATTAACGGTTTTTCGAAAAAGTAGATCTTTCAAGTTTTTCAAATTTTTCGACTGTAAAAATATTTTTGCAAAAGTTAAAAGCCACTTTTTCTTACTCAGCTCATCCATCCATGTATCACTTAACTAGAAAAAAAATTCAACTTGAAATTTGAGTTGCATGCACCTTATACAGTACGTGAGAAACTCGAAGACCTTTCAGGAGAAGTTCTCCAAAAACTTTGAAGGGCTGTCTGACCTTTCAGGAGAAGTTCTCCGAAAACTTTGAAGGGCTAGAAAGATAAAGTTTAGTTGAAAATGCTGTTGCATTCTAAAATGTAGAAATATTGCTGTTCTATCTATCGCCCTATCATTTGTAAAGACAAGAATGCTTTTATACTTTATATGCTTATGCATTTATAAAACAAGGCAGTTACACTGCATGTAAAATAATTCTAAACTATGTTGTATTAGCTATATCGACCTAACGACTGGAATAGAGGATTAACGACGGATCGGAATAGTGTCGTAATAGTACCGAAATAGATGAAGAATGGAATTACGGCTCATCTACGGAATATATTTTGAAACGATCCCTTTGACAGAAAGTGTTTGACATGATGAAACAAGTAGAGTGCAGGTAATCGACGATGGCGAACCTAAATTTGGCGCTACTTGTTTTTTTCATCTTATCTCTTACTAATAGTGACACCGGTTTTGCTGGCAGACATTATGTACATGGAGATTTAATAAGTTATCATTAACACATGACTAGGGATCAGAAAACCACAGTGAAGTCTCCTCTACAAAACAGTGAGCCGCTCTGGCACTTCTTGTTCACGAGTCATTCAAAAACACCGTTTTTTGAAACGAACAGTAGTAGAGCGCATCACAAATCTTCCAGTAATGGAAAATGATCTTCGATTACTTCGATCTTAAATAATCGGAATAATTAACACGTTCGATTGCACGTACCAAGTAAAGGGGCTCATTATGTAGAAAAACGCGTTGCAATCCTTTGTTGCATCAAACATATCACGAAATCCTTTACACTAACACTGGATTTGTAGTCACTGGGCATTCCATCTAACATTTTCAAAAAAATTAATCTATAAAACTAGTTTTAAATCTTTTTGGGTGCTCTTAGAAAAGGTTTAACTAATAGATTAAGCTTAAAAGAGAACTGACGGCTAAAGAGAATGCCGGAAGAAAAAAAAAGTTAAAAACGAATCAGTTGACAAAGAAGTAAATAACAAAAATAGAGAGATGATATGTAGACTGTGATTGAAGTGCATCCAGTACAGTAATACTAAGGATATTTGTAAACTACACCATCACCCACCAACACTCCCAAACTGCCCGACGCCACTCTAGATCGATAGAGCGCGTCAGATAACCCTACACCAACATCACACCAACACCCACCAACAGCCACCATCACCCAGATGGACGCGTATTTGCATCTGCTGACGCACGTACATCACGTATCCTGTTCCTCACCCTCACTCGAATCTTTTCATTTAGTGGGTAACGAATGAAGATTTCAAGGACCACCCGCCCCTGCCTCATGAAATCTTCATTTGTTACGCACTAAATGAAAAGATTCGAGTGAGGGTGAGGGTGGGGGCGAGGAACAGGATACGTGATGTACGTGCGTTTCTATAGATTACTCAGCGTCCTGAATAATGTGGAGATGATCAGCAGATGCAAATACGCGTCCATCTGGGTGATGGTGGCTGTTGGTGGAAGTATTCCGTTCAGGGTACCTCAGGTGTAGGTCCAAGTGGGTGTTGGTGGATGTTGGTGTGGGGTTATCTGACGCGCTTTATCGATCTAGAATGGTCTCGGGCAGTTTGAGGGTGTTGGTGGGTGATGGCGTAGTTTACAAATATCCGTGATACTGATACGCTAAACAATTATTTTACGCAGATGAAGTTCATTGGATCATTAAAGACAATCAAATACTATTTCACTTCCCCGTTTCATTTTATTCAGCCAACAAAATTCTACAGTTTTTTCTTCAAAAAACGACATAAAGCTTTAGAGAATGTGCAGGGGAGTGAAGTTTTCAAAATAAATAACCTTGTCAAAGTATGATTTAAATGGATATTTTTTTATTTTAGAGATATGCTATGTTTAAAGTCGCAATTTTGCTCAAGAAAAGACAGTTGATGTGCAAAATAGCAAGAATCAAGCATCACATTAAAAATCAGAACTCTAGAGGAAAAGTGTAATATTAAATAACACTCTAGACTGTTCTGATAATTTTCATAGCAAGCATCAATGAATTTCAAAACAATAAATCTAAAATAACAACAAAAAAAAGCAAAGAATATATCA